TGGTTGGCTGTTGGCTGGTCTGGGATGGCCCTGCCCACATGCCGGGTGGGTGGTTGGCTGTTGGCTGGTCTGGATGGCCCTGCCCACATGCCGGGTGGGTGGTTGGCTGTTGGCTGTTCTGGGATGGGGATGATTGAGCCACAAGTTTCTCATCCTCCAGCAGATTAGCACAGGCATGGGCCCATGACAGTAGCTGGGCCCAAGAGAACAAACAAAGCCTGCAAGGCCCGTTGAGGCCCGGCCTTGAGCTTGTGTGACGTCACTCTCACACCTTTCATTGACTTGTTTACGCACAGGACCATCCCAGACTCCAGGAGTGAGGAACATTTCCCCTCTTGACGGAAAGAATACAAAGGCACATTGTAAATGGTGTGGATATTGGGAGGGGAATCCGTGGGACCATATGTAATCATGTGACTTTTGACTACAGTCCCCCAGGCAAACATGAACAGGCATCACTGTGCGCTGGGGCACAGCTCAATGAAGAAAATGCTGGCAGGATTCATCACTTCAGCTGATGCCCTTGTGCAGTGAGCAAACTGTGTACCTGGACACAGCTGCCATGGTAACAGAGAGTGGATGGATAGCCACCTCTGTAGACTCACAGACGTGGGTTCAAATTCCTGATCCGTCACTTATTACCTGTTTTACCTCGAACGATTTACTTAACTCCTTAGAGCCCAATTTCCTCACCTGAGGAAGCTGCTTTACAGAGAGGGTCCCTAAGACCCCTAATGGTTCGGAAGCCATACTCAGTCACCTGTGAGCATTAGAAGCAATGCATATAAAATGATGGCCTCCATGCACAGCACCCGGCAGGCTCAACACACGTGGCTGTGTTAGGAGACGAATCTCTTCCTCTCCCCTGGAGAAGGGCAGGCCGGTTTGGCCATTGACCAACAGAAAGCAATTGTGGGGTGTGATGGGGATATGGTGCCAGACCCCCTCGCCCGAGAAACCTTTCCTCTTCCATCTGGTACGGGCCACAATTCCAGGTTAGAGTCCATTTTTGTGTCAAACTGATTCATGTCCCGTGACCATGTGTTAGAATTGTGCGCCCTGAAAGCAGACACTATACCGAGGCGAATTCCATGTTAACACTTCATTCAGCCTGATGTTGGAGATGTGATGGGAAGAGAGAGAGTTGTAGTACAACCAGAATGTAGTGATGTGTTTGTTTTCACAGAGTGGACATGAGGCTCAGAGGTCGGGTGTCCTGTGCAGCCTGGAGCTCGGAGAACAGGGCCAGAATGTGAACTCCTCAACTGAGTAACCTCCAGGAAAATCCCCAAAGAAGTAGGTGGGGGGCAGCAGGCAGCCTGCAGAGCCCAGAGCTCTTGGCAAATTTGACCTGGTCAGCCCCAGAGGACTGGGATCCAGGGAAAGAGTCAAGTATGCCCTGCCAGGCAACATGAGATGGAGGGTTAAGACCCTCTTGTGGCCTGGCAAAGGGTGTCCAAGAACGAGCGGGGCCTTCTCGAGCTTTCTCAGAGAGAGGCAGCTCTGGATCTCTCTGCAGCAGCAGGGGCCAGGGAGGGAAGCAGGCCAAGAGGTGTCCTATGAGGCATGCAGGGGAGCAGCCTCAGATTGGATCAAGGCAGAAAGGAGACGGAGACCTGGGGGACCCTCTGCTGGGAACAGCCTCTGGGAGAGCAGGCAGGCTGGACCTGGGACCCTGCGGGGACATGGAAGAGCAAGGTCCAGGCTTCCTTGCCGGTTCTGCCGCTTCTCGGCTTCTGGCTGTGTTCAGATGACTTAGGTGCTCAGCCTCAGTTTCCTCTTGTGTTCAGTAGGCACAGCCACAACCGCCTTGCAGACCTGTCTTGAGGTTTAGACGAGTCTGGAGTTTGCATGTTGCCCAGCTGCTGGCCCTTAGTCACAATAGCTATTGATTGGTTTCAATGCTGAGTTTCTAATTAGGGAAATTGTTTCCCCTGGGACTTGCTGGGCTTGGTGGTAAAAGTCAGGGCCAAGGGTTTAATAAGACATGATCAGGAAGACAGCTTTGGGCTGGAAAGGGCATTTCCATTCTTGAGGAGTCCCAGTTTATCCAGAAACCCCTGGCTTCCTGGAATTCTTTTTAAAACCCCATGAGGGAGCAGCAACATTAAAACACCATGATTTTTTTTTTTTTTTTTTTTTTTTTTTAAGACAAAGTCTCATTCTGTCACTCAGGCTTAAGGACAGTGGCATGACCCTCCAGGCTCAGGCAATCATCCCACCTTAGCTTCCTGAGTAGCTTGCACTACAGGCATGTGCCACCACACCTGGCTAGTTTTTGTATTTTTTGTAGAGATGGGGTTTCACTGTGTTGCCCAGGCTGGTCTCGAACTCCTGAGCTCAAGCAATTTGCTTGCCTCAGCCTCCCAAAGTGCTGAGATTACAGGTGTGAGCCACCACACCCAGCCTGACTTTTTTAAATTGACAGATAAAATTGTATGTATTTACTGTTACAACATGATGCTTTCAAGTATGTATATATTGTGGAATGACCGAATCTGTCTTTGTGTTGAGAATCAAACACCGTGATTTTTGCTAATGATGAATTTGCTATTAACTTACCAGAGAGCAGGGACTCGAGGAAGGAATGGCTAATTTTGAGGAGGGGGAGGAGAAAGAAAGGAGCTGCTGGAGGGGGCATGGCCGGTGCAGCCTGCGGACGAGTGGAGTAGAAGCAGGTGCTCGTCGCTTTCCATCCTCACCAGGTGAGAAAGGGCAGGCTGGAATCTCTGCAGATCCAGAAGCCAGGCCCAGGCAGGGAGACTCTGAGCCATGAAGGTCAGCCCAGGGTCTCCCCCAGAAACCAATGGGTTTCTTATCAAGGAAGAGAAAGAGTATTTCCCTCCTACCACTGGGTGAGCACTGGACTGGGAGCACCGTGACTCCCAGTTTCATCTCTGCCCCCCCCACTGGCGAGGACTGCTCCATTCGGAGCCTTAGCATCTCCACCTGGGTGGAATTGGTCAAATGAGTTTGGGATTTGCCAACTCTAAATCCAAAGAGCAGAGGATGTGGGGTTCATCCACAGTCCTGGGTTTGAACCCTAGCTTCTGTGCTGTAGCCTTGGACATTAGTCTCCCTGGACCTTTTCCTATGTGTAAAATGAGGCTGAAACG